CGCATAAGCCAGTCCATGGCGTACGATTGAATAATGCTCGTTGGTCGTCATTGACTTTGACCGGGATCAGTGATCGGCTTATTATTCAGTGACCCAACTGCTGGATGATTTGGCTAGGGTTTAGTGACATTTTACTGGCTCGACGACATACTTCTCTCCTGTAAAAAGCAGTCGAGTTCATTACATGGTGAACGACAAATGTTTTAGCAAGTTCGAGATTACTTATTGAACTATCGTTTACTCGTCATCAGAGAAGTAAAAGAGGCATGAAGGTGGTTGTGATAAGTTTTCATTACCAGATTCTCTGGACTGTTTGAGCCTGAAGCCTTAATTTAAACACGAAACTCTGAACTTTCGTTGTGGTGTAGTAGGAGATATAATGCACAAACAAAACAAAAATTAAATTAATTTAGTACTCCGGCCATAGCACTTAATATTAAAGGAGGTTCTTGGATAACTCTTAACCTCCGATGTGAAAATGTTATATCAGCCTCTTCCTATAGTCGACTTCTGTAAGAGTGTTGATTCGATCAATTCACAGAATTTATCCCAGTTCACTGTCTGTAGATGCATGATGCTGCCTAATCGGGAATCGCTGTTACTTGTTTGGTGTTAGAGCTTCTTACTTTTATAATCAGTGATGGTAACCTCTAAATCGATATTTAGAAGTAGTTTGCAGATTTCATATACGTCACTAGATTATTATTTTATCTCGGTAACATTTACCTGCTTACCCCAAATTGTCACGCACAGCTTGTTGGATGTATCCTCCAGATGAGAACCAGATGTGTTAAGAGAAGGAAGGGTAAGGAAATGAAGAAGGTTTGGGTAAGTGTCACGAGAGGTCTACCAAACATCAAGCTGTATAGGTACAATTTTCTCATGCTCTGTCCGGCCATCTAGTGTTTACCCACATGCCTCTTGAGTCATCTTAAAGTCAGAAATGTAGGAGGACATATTTTAAATAGAACAAATAGATAAAGCTAGTCAAACCTTGAGAATTGCTCCTCTATTCTTACAAGGGAATTAAATACTAAAAGAAAGTTTATAATTGCGAATAATAAATGCTTGATGTGGTCGACCGTTTCGTAGTCTAAAAGGGAAATAGTAACGGTATAGACATCTTGGATACGAATGTGCATTAAAGTAGGACGTTACTGGAAAACTTATCAGTATGAACCCTCCAGAAGCCGGACCAACCAACTTACTCGATTTAGTGCGTGGCCCTAGGTTTGTAATGGCCATCTTCAATAATCCGGTTCGTAACCGTGGACAGAGAAAGTATCCACTGACCAGGGATAAGCAGAACGTAAAATAAAAAGATATTGAAAATACTAAAAGCCGAGTCGTGCAATCAAATATGGTCCTTAGTGTTAGTGAAATAATCGGAGTATGGACAACTGACAGTAACTGATTCAATATAAGTGTGGCCGTGAGAAAAATGCTCTAAACTCAATGTCCTGATTGCACAGTGTGTTAGTGTTCCTAATATGAGATACTGGGATAACTTTCAATCACTCAAGTTGAATGATCACGGATTTATTAGACAGGAATTCTATGAAATTTCATTATTTAATACAATGTTCTTCACAATGTAATAATATGCATGTTATTTCAGAACGAAGACCAACTGAATGTTCCCTCCAAGGACGACTTTGTGGAGTATTTTACACGTATTCCTATTTCGTAATTTTTAAATGACTAGATTTATAAATATTTTTATTTCTTGTGTCATGAGCTTTTGATTGATTCACTAAACACTTTTATATGATTTACTATTCTTAAAATATTGCCAATTTATTGTTCACGGTTTCCATTTCCCACAGGCCTTCTTAACTTAATCGTGGATAATCGTCACTTATTCTACGAAGTGGCGTCTGCTCTGCTTATATAAAAACTACAAATGTCTGAAGCATACGAACGATCTTGGACTGGTGAACATTGGTTTATGTTTGTGATTAATTATTAATTGGCCAACTGTCAAGCATAGAATATCAGTCTTTCTTGTCCTCGCAGCATATTGATTGCTTAAGGTCGTCTGTGCATAGTGATCGGTGCTAGGACATAATAATACTTATCTGAGTAAACAATCCTATATCAAACCGTGTTAGAATCTGTCACAGGATTGTTGACCCAAATGAACGAGTAGTGAAGCACTTGTGAAGCTTGCTTACTTATTTACTTCTGTTACTCCTAATGGAGCATAAGTAAACGACCAGCATTCTCCAACCCACTCTGTCCTGAGCTTTCCTTTCTAGTTCTATCTAATTGTTGTTCATCCTTCTCATGTGTCTCCATTTCTCGAAGTGATATTCTTTGGTCTTCCACTTCTCATCTGGCCTTGAGTATTCCAAGTGAAGACTTGTCTTGTGACGTAGTTCGGTGCTTTCATCAATGTGTTATTATTATTATTATTATTCACAAACATCTTATTATTGCAGTAAGATATGACGCTAGAATTAATGTTTGCGCAGTCATAGTTCGGAGTGACGCTATGAAAGTCTCAATTAAGTGAAAAGGATAACGAAATATCAACATGTATTAGTCATATCTACATAGTGAAGATAAACCAAGTCTGTGAAGGTAATTTAATTGTAGCACAAATTATGGTCGTAATTGCAAACTTCGTAAACTTAAGAATAATATTTGTTTAGATTGAAAAAAGAGGAAGAAGGAATGAATATTTAGTGAAAGTGTTCAACCATGCTAATAATAGTTGTGTAATGAATATCAACCTCTGAAGAAAACCAACAATTTAAAAAAGTTCTTTTAGTGCACTCGGATAAATACATGTAGATTTATGTAATAGTATACAGAGTAAAACTTGATATTAGTATGAACTTTTGTGTACTAGTAATTTAGAATGATGTTATAAAAGTCACGATTAGTTCCAAAGGATAATCAAATATCAATTATTATGTGTTATATATATATATATATATGTATATATATATATATAGTGAAGATAAAACGAATCTGAGAAGTTGATTTATTGAAGTGTAACATAAGATAGTTTGCTATTAGTTACAGACTCTTGATGTTTAGGAATTAAATATGTGTAGGAGGAATAGTGGAGATGAAGAGAATATCTTATGTGTCGAGGGACGAATAATGATATTAATAACAGTAATAAATATAAGTAGGAATATAAGCAGACTTCATGTATTAAGATGAATAAAAATGAAATAAAATAGACGTTGAAAGTTTCAAAGGTTACACTTTGATTTTCAGTCAATTAGATAGATGAGGGACCTTGTTTGTGTAAATCATTATCAAACGCATTGATATTCAATAGGTGACACAATCCACTTCCAGCGCCTCTTCCCGATTTCCTCCTCCGCTGGGATCTGGTTTGTTCTCTATCACAGTAGGTTGTTGATAATAGTGTCCGGCCAACGGATCTGAAGTATTTTGCGTAGACAACTGTTAACAAACACTTGTATCTTCTGAATGGTGGCCTTCGTAGTTGCGCAAGTTTCCGCCCCATACAGCAGAACAGTCTTGACATTTGTATTGAAAATTCTGACCTTGGTGCTGGTTGTTTTTAAGTTCCAGATGTTCTCCAGTTGTAGATATGCTGCTCTTCGCCAATCCGCGCCCACACATCTGCATAAGATCCACCGTGCTCATCAGTGATGCTGCCCAGATACATAAAGGTTTTTACATCATCCAAAGCTTCTCCATTAACATATGAAGCTATCTGTTGTTTTTACTTTGTTCAACGAGTGAAACATATGAAACTTACAGGCACTTAGTGGGTTGAAGCTGAATGTAAGAATACGATTTTCACCTGGGTTTTTATTTAGAACACCTTCACATGTCCTATTTGAATACGCTACTGTAGCTCATTCCACCTTACCGATAACAAAAATTAAAACATGAAAGCTAGATTTTTAATTTATTACTCAATGAAAAGTATGGTCACGTATCAAATACAAGAATCACCACCTTTTGTGTCGCAGAAATAATCCTAAAACTCAGACTTGGATCCTACGGAATTAACAGTTTACTAATTCTAGTCGGTAAATGTAGAAGTGTTTCCTCTGCCGCAATTACAACCTAACGAACAGAGTTAAAATTAATAAAAAACAAAATTTTAAACAGACGTGAACGTTAGTTTTTTGACGCTGTACGATGTTAGGTGCTATATGTTGTTTTTCCGCGCTGAATAATGCCCTATGAATTGTTGGCGATAATTTAACAGGATAGTAACAGAGATATAGATGGCACATAACGATGATGAACTTATGGTTGTTTGTTTTCTGAGCTATTCTAAGTATAATAGGCTAGTGTCTTGTATTATATGAGAGAGGAGTATCCCCATCACGCTTTTGCTGCTTTAACTGTTGCTCAGAGAAGATATCCGAACGACCCATTTATCAAGCTACTTACTAGTATTGTACTAGTAGCAGAAGGTTACATTTTTTCATCTGTTAAGTTTTTCAGGGTCTTTACAAGAGGCGTTGAGGTACTTTAATGAGCTCAAGAACAAGGAGGAGTTTCTCTTGCGTCTCTAATATCAATTGTGCATTTACATACAGAACTGCCCAACAGATGTAGTTCCAATCGTAACCTCAATAATGTTGAACTTTTTTAGGCCAAGATGTGGTAGAAGAGTATAAGAACAGGACAAGGGAGTTGAGGAAGCATGCTACTGATAGAGTTACCTCCATATAATATATTTAATGACATGTTTATTTTATAGTCACTTTATTTTGGTGCTTTGGCACTGTTTTTCTTTAAAAGATATGACAAGGCTAGGGAATACTCTGAAAAGGCACTTAAAATCAATCCGCGTTCCAAGGAGGTATGCTAAATAACAGTTATTTATAATTCCAATCAATCTTTTACCGATTCTCAGATATTGTGTCTGAATGGATGGGTCGGATTAATGTGTAAGGATGAAGATTTTCAAAGAAGGTTGTGAAGTATTTTGACGAATCCGAGTGGTATGAATTGATCTAGTTTGTAACTTCATATTAAGTAGTGATGATGAAACTATGTCGATTGAGTGTTTGATGGGTAGAATAAAATATTTACAAGCCTCGAAGTCATTCTCGTCTGCCTTGGATGAGGTGAATATTTTAGTAGTAAAATTTTCAAGTTATGTCCCTGGTTTCATTGAAAAGATGAGGATTCAACTTGCATCTCAGGACTGGGAATCAGCTTCAGATACAGCTACTAGGCATGAAGTTATTTTAAGTTTTACAAACAACATTTAGATGCCTGTCAATTGACCCTACGTGTATAGAGGCTTTAAAGTTTCAAATTCTGTATTTGCTGTGTTACGAAGGAAACACCAGTGCAGTAAGTTTAACATGCGCCCACTATAGCTATTTGTTAGGCACTGAAAAAGCTAGAGGAGCTTAAAAAAGAACTTGAAATATCGGAACCAAAGACATCAAATCAGTATTCATCAGTTTCTAAGCTGATATCCCTAATCGTAAGTTTAAATTTAATTATGGTTTTCTGTCAAAAACAGCTAGCTTCCATGGCTATAGACTGCATGCTTTGTCTAATATTAAATTTATTGGTCTTATTTAACGATTTCAGTGTGGTCGTGAGCCTACAATACTGCAAAAGGTTCAAGAAATATGCGAGAAAGCAGTTGAGCTGACGCCTGGAAACTATCATTACCTGATTAACTTAGGTGATATTGTTCTCATGCAGGGCAAACTAAAGGAGGCCGTTCAACATTTTCGGAACGCGGTAAATTTGTGTGAAACAAGCTTTGATGGTTTAAAAGGTGATAGTCAGTTTTTATACATTCATATTTAAATATCACCAGTTATGATGCTTCACTAATGTTGTAAACTCTGAGTGGTACCACTAATAATAGTGTATATTTAGTCCAAAACACCTGAACCTTGTTTTATCATGATTAGTACAGGTTTAACTTATCCCATTGTTGATATGTGGGACTGAATTCTCTCTAGTTTTTGTTACTATGTGTGCAAATCGTCTCTGTATAGCCATTTTTCTACAAATGTTTTGTAGAATAGATGAATTTGTGACTAGCAGCGGAACCCAGAACTAGAGTCTCATCCTATTTGGAACTCGTCAGCTGAGCGTACTTGCACGGAATGCACCACATAGAATGCAAAAATCCCGACAGACAATGATCAAAATTTAGTCAGGATAGTTAACGGCGCAATAATTCAAATCCGTTCTTTCAGTAATGTAAGTATCATATCTGATGCGAAAGCGAGTGACTAGTTCGACTCTCTAGCTCATTCTATAGCACGTTGGTCATTTAAGGAAAATAGTGCTGGTCTCAAACTTCTCCTTAGGATCAATACTAGTATTCATTTATATTCAGATAACCAGTACCAAATAAGACAGAACGCGTGTCCTGAATCAAGATGTTAGCTGCTCCATAAAATCTTTCGAAAGTTTCTTTTTTATTCCCTCAACTACCATTTACAACTCATCTTAAAGTTTAGCCAAAAAAACGAATGTTGTTTTCTCGGGAGATTTGACTCGAGATAATTAAAATCGTAGAAGACGATACAATCAAGACAGCTGAAAGTTTTGGCTATTGTGTCATTTAGAGTACTCAAATCAATTTAACTATTACAGAGTTCATTTGTATTTTTGATGCCAATCAATTCTTATGATCAAGACAAGTTTTCGCATTTTGGGTAGTAACCAAAGTCATACTTGTCTCCATTAAATTTAAGTGTAAATGAGAAGTCTTATAACTGCTACTAACGTAGGAAGACGTAAATTTAGTCAAATTAACTACAAAATACATCTCACCAAGTTATCCTGGATCGTTATAAATTCTAACTTAAAATGTCAAATATATGAAGCATACTAGAATAGGTAGGCCATACACTAAATAGTAAATAGCGTGACCTCCAAAAGCCACTTTACGTAGCAAACCAACATGTATTTTGATTACAGATTACCAAGGAAAACACTTTATTGTTTAATGATTTTAGATAGTCCGGAAACCGAGATGAATTTTGTTCAAAAATATTTTAATTAACTGTGAAACTATCTTGTTTAGTCAGACTAACCTCAAAATGACTTATATATTTCTTCAGCTGTTGTTAAGTGCCAACTTCTTCAAAGCAATCTACACGAAGCTTCAACACAATTAGAATTTTTGAGTGAGCTACAACCAACGATTGGAAAGTCTTCAGTAAGTAAACCTTTAAAGAGTGAATCTTTTGCAAATAATTTTGGATCAAGTAAGGATTTTGGAAGTAGTGTTAGGTATACACGATAGAAAATTTGCCGTATTGGGTTTATTTTATAAGGAAAGCAAAAAATCACTATTTTGTAAGTTGCTTATTCTGGATAAAGTTAAGAAATATGCATCATCTTAACTAGGTTGCAGTATGTCAACATAGAACGACATTCAATCGAAAATCAATGTCACTTACCATGATTTAACAGGTCTTAGTCGCTTTTCAAGCACAGGAATATATAATTTTTCAAACAGGTTTTATGTGTACGACATATAAAAATATGAATTTAACATACATCTTAAGTCGTAAGTATCAAAACCGAGCCAAATGCGTCGTTTCCCACTTAAATGGAAAACTGTCTATATTGTAGTATGTTTTACAAATATAAAATAAAAGAAGCAAATTCAAACTGTTCAATTCTTTATGGCTGTTTTCAAAATTTCATTTGCATTTGATCAGTCGAACGGTAACTAATCACATAAAAGTAAATGGTAAACTATGTGAAATATTTCTGGTATCAGCAATCCAAAAACCTTTCACTCATCTTCTATGGTATGTACAACCATTGCTAGTAATTCAGGCCCATAAAGCAGCATAGACATAGTCTTATAAAATCATACTAAAAAGGAATGCATGTGGTTTAATTACCCGAGGGGTCAGTGCAATCGCTTCCAACTACAAAGCTGGGTGACACGGGATCAAATCCATCAAGAAGCGTCAGTTTACTCAAAATTTCAGGTATATCACACTGATGAGTGCAAAATTGCACGGACCCTAGGTCCAGAGTTTTCTGTAGACTACCCCTGACCGCCCTCCTTATATTATCCAAGATGTGAAGGGTGGTGTCCAAAATCTGATGCTGATACACGACTTACCATGCGCTAATCTTTCGACTGATTACTTAAGTGAAAACATAGGAGTGGATGGAAATATATATTGAACTACCAAATGAAATACACAAACACAGATATATATACTCCTTAGAAAATCAATCCGTTTCTCAACCAATGATATACACTTATCCTTCAAGTCACTTCTGATTGTCCTCGATTGACCTTCTCTTCGGCTACTTCTGATTGGCTTACCATATCACAAAACCTCCGTCATACCCATTGATTAGCCAGGAAAATTCAGAGCAGTGAATATATGCTACATTTCTAAAACTGGAAAATGTAGGACCTAGATAAGGTGAACTTATGAGGATATTGGAATTGGCTTATAATTTTTAGAATGATTTAGAAGGTTGAAACGAAGGAAAACATTAGGCACCAACACACTACAGTTTTATAACTTTAAGGAGGTTGACCCAATACACTTATGTGAAGTCTAGCAACTTGTATTAGTAATTATTTGTATCCGATGTAGCATTGTTCGTGTTAATAGATAAAGACAGAATTTACGGTGAGACCAATACATTGCAATATTTAGAAAGACTATAGCAAACAGATGTAAATTTCTCGTAGATAAAATCCATTATATTATAAAATTTAAATGACAGTATCTGAACTCGAAATACACTTTCTATTAGCTTTTATTTTATCGAATAGGAAGTAAGCTACATGATCTCAGTACTCAGACGCAAACAAGGTTTATCAACATCGCAAATACTAACGCCCTTGAATGAAGCTATGGAATTGCAGCTACATAAACTTCGGGTGAGCAATAAATTGAATGCATGTATTTTTATGTTCCTCATCCAAATCCACTATTATTGGACTAAAATATTAATAGAAGTCGTGTATAGTAGTAGTAATGATAACACTTTAGATAGTCTGAGGTCAAGAATGACGTTGACCATTCAGTACGCTCTGTTAGAAGACCTCTCATATCAAGATATTGTTGAGCTGCGTGTACTTCAAGAAATCCTTAAAAAGTCGGTATAAAAGTTCTAGTGTTTTCACAATTTATTTGATTCACTTATTCATATATGATGTAAAACTGTGGTAGTTTTAGTGAGATTAGATCCTTTTGTTTTCAAACAAGAAATTTAAAAAAGTTTGCTTCAGAGACTAACATCAGCTGAATAACTAATCGAAACTGACAAAAATAAGTAATTACTATTAAACAGATATGAAATTTTGGTTGATTAGTTAGTTTTTTAGTCGCATCTTGGTGAGTTTTGTATAATTATTGTCTTAATAACCAACACTAATCCTACCATTGATGTCATTTAATGCATATGAAAGAAAGTGATAATTGACTGATTTTGAAATTAATGACTGAGCAAGTTTATGTCTAAGTAGAGAATGCTCAACTTAATTTGAACTAAACGTGGAAAAATGTACAGAGATAAATGAATGATATAAGTGAACGGAGCACAAATAAGCGTATAATGGAGGGATTTACACAATAGTGAAGAGAATACAAGGGAATATCTGATCAAATTGTTCATCATATTTCATAAACTGTATCTATCATTTAAATTCGTCGGCACAATTCAGACTAGTAGTAAGAGAATCAGTGAATTGGTTTCAAGCAATCATTTGGATGCTCTGATGTGTTTTTTAAATCGAATACTACAGAGGCGTTAACTTAATTTACAGTTAACGGTGGGTATGATATGTACATCATAGGAGTTTCTACAGAACTCTCAAATCATATTTCATACAGTTCTGTTGATTAGGTTTATCTTTTGGTTTTCTCTCCCCATTCTACCATAATTTAAGTTGTCAGAAAAACCTTCCACTTAGGCAACACTCAACAAATAGTGAATAATTTAACTGAACTTCGTTTTTCTGTGGTTCATTTTTCACATTTATTTTCTCGGTTAATTCACTATTGAAATTCAACCTACTTATGAGTAGTGCAAAACATGTATCTTATTTATTAGCCATGTGTGATTTGTTTTATGACGATTGCATATTAAACGTGTTTCTTTTTTAGAATGTCAGTTTGAGCCTTGAATATTATGAACTGTTAGATCCAGACTTTCTCCTTCAACTTGTCAGTGAATATTTAATTCATGCACCACCTGAACCTTCAAATATTGGCAATACATTTAGAATATTTAATGATATGGCATATATAAATGACCAATATGATTCAGTTCTTATGCGGTGTTTACGTATTTTAGAACCATTGACACTTTCAGCCCCAGGTTTTCAAAAGGGAATATACCTTACAGCATATGTTCATTATATGTTAAGAAATACTACAATTGCAATATCTAATGTGAAAAAATGTTTAGAAGTAAATCCATCTTTTCTTGATGGTTATATTTTATTGGCAAAAGTGAGTTGAGTAAAAGATTTATTTATATTATGATATAAAGTAATATTTCTTTATTTTGTTTCCGTTTATCATACATAATGAAATCGTAGAGTCTAAGTACCAGTGTGATTAATACATAAATTACACTAAAAAGTGTGTTCTATTGTTTACTATAACTAGAATATTTGTTGAAAGATGTATAAGTGACTTGGAATATAGTTAACAAGACGTGTAAATATCCGTATTTACATTTTTTCAATGTTAATACTTTTGTATATTCATGTAAATTGATATAAACAGAAGAAGCTAGCATATAGCGGGTATTTATCTACTTTCATTCGTGTTATTGACCAGAATACAATGTAAATAATTTTGCAGCGTAATATGTACTATTTTAATGCTACCTTTATATCTTTGAGTATATTCATGATTAAATCACTTATGATTGTCATTTGGATAGAAGCATGTTTATTTCCAGGTTTATATACTTCCGTCGTATTAAAGTGTTACATACTATTATTTATTTATCATTTCAATTTCCAAACTATATTAATGATTCAAAATTATCAATCTTATTAATTGGTATTTAGCTGAAGAAAATTCACTGATATACACTGAATTCATGGCAGTCCACAAATTAATATCGTTCTTACTTAATTTAAATTAAGTAAAAGCATAACTAGTTTGATCTATCATCTGTTAAAGTATCATAATCAACTCAAACATTGTTGCATATCATTCTATCAATATAATTGTGATAAAAATAGGGTGCGAAATTATTGAATTAAGATGTATTTCACACTGTGATTTTGTCGTTTGGTTACAAAATTAGTGGACAATCTGGAATCATAAGAAGGTAACATTCCTTAATGTTTAGTATTTATTCAATTTAAAATTGGATAGCATTCCATAGCATTCGATCTGCACTAAGAAGGACTTGACACACATGACATTGATCTCCTGCCAGTGATCAATCAATTATGAAAATTGGATCCTAATACATTTACTAAAAACAAAAATCCACTTTAAATATAAACTGATCAAAATAAATGTTGTATTCCTTAGTTCAGATTTTGTTTAGCTATAACATACATTATGTAATCGGAAAGGTACACATTGCTAAGAAGGGAGTAAAGAAAGTCATTTTACGTACGTAACTAACTAGTTATGTTAGCAAGAAAAATATGTGTTAAAAATGGGAAATAAAGATGATTTACATTTTATTTAGGCATATCATCCGTGAGATGCATGAAATTCAATTAATCCTTAGTTTATACTATATGTTCCATTACTATTTTCTTCTTTACTGTATTATTTTAAACCAATTCCTTCTGTTTTATTATAAGTTGGCTGGTAACTGTTCTTTGACTTGTCGTTCCCATAATATATAGTTCCCTTTCTTTGTAATGGTCATAAAAATCTTATTGACAACTTAGTCGACAATTAAAAGAGGTTTAGATATTTTTCAATGAAGTTAAGACATTCTGATTGATAGTAACTATCTTGTAGGAAGATCAATGTGAAATTGATTTTATAACGATGTTTTATGGAGCAGACTATTATCAATTAAAACGTGGTTGGAAATCATGTAGTGCCAGACAAACATCTCACACTTAGTTAACGTTTCACTTGGTACTGTATACAGGATTATCCACGCAAAGGTTCTACAGTGGAAAATTTACCATCTAGATAGTTTGTAAGGACTGGATAACTGACAGTTCTTAACTTTGGTATAATAATTAAACCATCATATAATATCGCTCAGTCAGAATCACCCTTGATACCAATCTTACTCGTAAGGTATTTTTAGACACATCAGAATAATTTTTATGTTTATATTTCACGTGTCTTATAAATTAACTCATCAATTTGTAGTACGGTGTCTTAGTGGTTAAGGTGTTCCAGTTTCAACCACCAGATCTGAGGTTCGAATGTTTCTCCTTTTTCTTCGGTTTGAGTAGCCGAGTATCATCACTATCTATTATAGATAAAGAGTGACTCAATGTTGATTATACAAACTTAAACTTGATGAATTACAGTTGCATAGCTTATCAAGCTAACATATCTAGAATTATATGAAAGAAGCTATAGATTTTAATCGACATTATTCGATGCTACGGCTAGCTCAACGTTTACGAAGTTGTTAAGGTCTTACCTCTTTCCTCCAAGATTTAACTAAGTATAATATTTTAGAAAAATACTTGATTCTCTTAATTATGAGGTGACATTTGTCCTTTTTGTCCTAATACAGATGAAAGATAGAGTAGAATAAATAACTCATAGGTAATTTCATTGACATAGTACCATTTTTCTTTACCTAACCGCGAATGGGAAAAATGATCTTATCAGAATAGTATGGATTCTTCGTCTTTTGTTAGATCTTTATCATCTAGTTGCAACCTGTGTTACTTATCTATCAAAATTAAAAAGGGAATTTAACAGAATTTTAGAGAAATGAAACTGGTTAAGTGTTATTGTAAGCATTTATTAGTATTGTGGGGAAGAAATTTATAGAATTCAAACGGAATAAAAAAGAACAAATAATATCTTAAAAGTAAATATAATATTGAAGTAGGTTCTGGAAAATCTGTTAGTATATATATATATATATATATATATATATATATATATATATGTATATATATATATATATAGTGATAGATCCCTGAGTCGCAACCAATATCCTATTCATGTAGTTATTAGTGATGATCAAAGTCTACTGACGTCAATCTATATGATGTGACAATGAGTGAAACCATTTAAAATTTTAAGTGGTTAAAGGTAGTCTACAACAAACCATTAGCCTGTATTTTGTGTTAAAAGTTATTTTTTAATCACCTTAATTCCAAATGAAACAGTGGCTGGACAAAATCATTGTCTCTCTTTACTTATTTACATTTTCATTGATAATGACACTGATAACATATTTTATTGTGAATGAATTAAGGTTTGCATTTTATTAAACTGATGTATTTAGTTTTACAATAGCTATTATTTTAGTCCTTTGTAATTAGATTATATTCTAGTCCCATATTTTGTGTAATCATATATCAAATGTTTAGAATCTATTAAGTGGAATATAACGTATTTTCATAAAATGGTTATTACTTATATGAATTACATAGGCATTATCATAGAACCTATTGTATTTCAGAGGTGTTTCATTTTTTCCAAAATTTAAAAGATGAATTCACTTGATGTTGTTTTACTTGTATCTTCCCATTGTTATTTTGGACTGCAATTAATCAGTCTCTTGTTGGAATATGTGCATCTTGTGCGGATAGCCTGGATGGCGTTTGATGCGAGCGGTACTGGGTTCAAGTCCTGGAGTGAACATCAACTCTGGTATGCAGGTGCATCTAACTGACGGGTCCTAAATAGGACGAAACGCGCGTCCTCGATTTCACTGCTAGCTACTATCCATCTTTGATTTAAAAGATGAATTTTCTACCAGTAGTACATTTTGAGTGTTTAGATAAACATAATATTAAAAACAATGGAAAGTACAACATGTTCATTGTAGTCATATAAATAAAAAGTACGTAAAGGATTAAATTTAACCGAGTGGATCAAAGAAATTCCTTCTCATACCTACTTCTCAAGTTCTGTTCTAATAATAACTTTCTTAAAACATATCGGTAAAACAACCACAAACAGACAAACGACTGTAGAACATAGTACTAGTTTGCATCGGTTCAAGAACTTTCACATATGTATTAAGAAGTTAATAGTCTTGTTAGTCAATAATCACTAATCTCATCATTCAACAACAATAAACTTTGTTATACTACTGATGTTTTGTATTTATGTTCAAGTTGATAATACTTATAACAATTCTTGTCACTTCAGATAAAGTACACTGTGGTTAACGTATGTAAATGCTCAAGGTTGAGAAAAATCATCCTATTTATTAGACATATGAACGCAAGTAGAGTGTAACTAACCCCAAATAATAAACTTATAGCAGCTCACATGCAATGGAGTTTGTTTACATTTAATTTGGTTAAGCCCTTTTGTTAACTTATTCGTACAATAACAACTTATTTATATCATTGTATACACATAGTTCCCTTTATTATCTTAAAGAGAGCAAGAACAAAGATTGATGCAGAATAATATGAATTCATTTTATTTCGTTAGGTTCTCATCAGCTGCTTACAACCTAAAATATTTAAAATTCAACATAATTACAGATATTGACATACTTATACATAAGAGGGTGATTAAGGATGAATAAATGTATCGTGGTGTAGCGAAGATTTCGATCGAGTTAATGAGGTCATAAAATTTTGTCTCAAATAAACAAAGTTTGAGAGGTAAAGTTCCAGAACATTGAAATAGTGATTAGAACTCATGAAAATAGAATAACGGTAATAAAGAAAATATAAATCGAAATCAGTCAGTTATGCATGGTGTAATTTAAACTTTCTAAAGAGTTGGAATAATGACGCAATGAATAAATAAATAGCAGCAAGTGAATAAAAAGGGGGATTATTGTTACCAGGGTAATGAAAGATTTATTACTGTCTCTTTTTGTATACATAGGTCTGGTTTTAGACGTTTGATTGCTGACGCTTCAGCAAATTTCAAAAGGTTGGAGTTTGATTGTTTGTTAATCACCTTGAAGGACTTCAGTGTATCGACTTCGTGTCCTGTGTCAAGGAGATGTCTTGAGATGGCACTGTTGAATGCTTTCAATCTATTTGACCTCAAACTTTTCGGAATATGTTCTTTGAGTCGGACGTAGGCTCTCCTTTCTGTTCTACTAATGTAACTGCTTTGGCGGATACATGTAAATTTGTATACACGGTTGGTGGTAACATGAAAGGGATACCTGAAGACCTTTGATTGTGTCAAAGAAAATGTTGTTTTGGATAGAACAATCAATTTTGCTGCAGGATAAGTTCTTGTCAATGCAGTTTTTAGTCTCATATTGATTGATCCTGTGACATTATCACCTTTGAATTTAAGTTGAATAAAAATAGGCTTTTTATTTACTGTAATTTCTTTGGGTTTTTTAT